GTTAATAATGTGGATAAAATGGGAATGTAAAATGTTTCAAAAATAAATAGTACCCGGTGGATTGGCTCTTTTATTATAGTAGGGAAATATCAAACAAAACAAGTTTTGAATGTTTTACCGAAATGAAAATTGAAAACCAAAAGCCCTTTAACTTTATCTCTAGCCACACACGGAAATTTGAAAAAAAAAAATTATGTGAGATATAGGAATGACGAAAAGAATGGTAGGAACTCTGGATGACCCCCTTTAGAAAGGGATACTCCATGGTCATATGATGACAACAATTTATGGAGCTACTTTAATTCTTGTAAGAGTACTCAACATTTTATCTAGGGGTGTGAATTTAATCAAAAATCAAACCTCTCGAATCAGAACCAGAGAAGAAAAAAAAATTAGAATTCAGAATAACTGTGGTACCCGATTCTAGATCGACCTTTTTTAGAATCATTAATTTTACAATTTATTCACTACGATCCAATAACTTGATTAGATGCAAAAGAAACGATGAGATGGAAAGAAAGTCGATAATATTGATTATTAAGCTATTTTCAGACGAATGAATTTGTTGTTTTTAGCATTAATAGATTCTAGTACTTTCTTATTGTGAGTTTCTAGAAGTTTGTTGCTCATGTAATCTGGTATTTATGCTCAGCTAGAAATTTTATGCTACATATTGTATGCTATATATTATGCTAAATACTGTATACTATCTGCATATTTGAATTGATTTAATGGTGTCATATTTTATTTCTTCTATTTTTCTAGATATTGGAAGATAATTTTCCAGCTAATAGTTCTTTTAAAAAAAAATTATAGGTAGAACGAACTCAAATCGAAATCGATGGTTTAGGTTCTAGTGTGTTTCTAATACTTACATGAACCCTAATAGTTCCATTTACAAAACACTCGAACTATAAATGGGTGATTCAATGTATTCAAATATTCAGATTGACCACCCGTCACCAAACCTAATTTTAGTAATTCTTTTTACCATTTTACTCATGGTATCTATATAATACATGTGAAGTACCGTTAGAATTAACTAGGTATTTTGCTCA